TTTTTTTTTTTTTTTTTTTTGAGACAGAGTCTCGCTTTGTTGTCCAGGCTAGAGTGAGTGCCGTGGCGTCAGCCCAGCTCACAGCAACCTCAAACTCCTGGGCTCAAGCAATCCTTCTGCCTCAGCCTCCCGAGTAGCTGGGACTACAGGTATGCGCCACCATGCCCGGCTAATTTTTTCTATATATATCAGTTGGCCAATTAATTTCTTTCTATTTATAGTAGAGACGGGGTCTCGCTCTTGCTCAGGCTGGTTTTGAACTCCTGACCTCGAGCAATCCGCCCGCCTCGGCCTCCCAAGAGCTAGGATTACAGGCGTGAGCCACAGCGCCCGGCCTTGATTTCCTTTCTTTTGGATATATATACACCAGCAAGGGGATTGATGCATCATACGGTAGTTCTATTTTTAGGTTTTTGAGGAGCCTCCATACTGTTTTCCATAGTGGCTGTAGTACTCTACGTTCTCACTAACAGTGTGTGAGCATTCCCCTTTCTCTGTATCCTCGTGAATATTTGTTTTTAGTCTTTTCTCTTTTTTTTTAAGTCTTTTTAAAAATTATATACTTTTTTCTTTCATTATTTTTTCTTTTCTTTCCCATCTTGGCATCTGCATTGTAGTCTTTTCGATAATAGCCATTTTAACCAGGGTGAGGAGATATCTCAATGTAGTCTCAATATGCATTTCCCTGATGATTAATGATGTTGAACATTTTTTTCATAACTTGTCCATTTGTATATTCTTTTGAGAAATGTCTATTCAGACCTTTTGCCCATTTTTAAATTGGATTTTTTTTTTTTTGCTATTGAGTTGTTGGAGCTCCTTATATATTCTCGTTATTAATCGCTTGCCAGATGGATAGTTTGAAAGTATCTTCTCCTGTTCTGTAGGTTGTCTTTTCACTTTGTTGATTGGTTCTCTTGCTGTGCAGATGCTTTTTAGCTTGGTGTAATCCCATTTGTCTATTTTTGCTTTTGTTGCCTAATTATGAATAAAGTTGTTATTGTGAATTAGCAACTGTGATGGGGTAGGTTTTTCTTGAAAGAGATGAAGAGTTACCTGGAGAAGGAAATGGAGCCTACCTCTGGACTAAGAGAGGAAGGGATGGACTTTGGTCTGGAGATCCAATGAGAAATTACTGGGCAAGGGCTGGCTCTTAGCACAGCAAGTGGCTGTGGGTCACACCTTAGGGAAAGGATGGCACATGCACGGGTCAAAAGAGCTGAGATTGTGGGGTGTGTGAGTGAGCCGCAGGCTTAGTGTGACACGGATGGAGCATGGCTGCCAGCGGAGCTGTGCCGTTGCCATGTCCTGAGGAATCACTGTTCACAGAGAGCTGAGGTCAGATCCTTGCTTAGCAGCCCTGAACTATTCTAGTGTCTGCGGCATGCTACATGCTTTGTCCTGCTTCTGCAATAGCTTGTGCAAATGGGGCCTTCTCACCCTCCAGTTTCACAGGCTGGTAGGGTTTCAGCAGGAGTGGTGAGGAGGCAGAGGAAATGAGCTGTGGGGAGAGAAGCCTAGGGGTGAAGCCACCTGCCAGTGTGTAGACAGCTGCTGTTTCTGTTGCCCAGTGTTTCTTCCTGCCTTTTCTCATGGTGCCAGTACCTTTGTTCCTTTGGGGCATACTCCTTACTTATCCTAATCTAATGGCTGTGGTGGGGTGACCAATTTTAGTACCTCACCCTCATCACAGGGTGGACACCAGTCCCAGTGGGGCAGTTGCAGCACTCCATGCGCTAGCCATGGACAGGAACAGATGGAAATTGGACCAATCAGCCCTTCCTTGTAATTTTTCTAATTAGTGTTGACAGGGAAAAAGCTTTCTTTTTCTTTCCAAGTTCAAGGTTATAAGAATATAAGCCTGGAGCTATTGAGGCCATAATTCTGGTGTCATGGGGAATGAAGCCAACAGACAGAATAAGAGAAAAGAGATGGGCTGTGAGAAGCTTTCAAGATCCAGTGGCCTAGAAGCCAGGCTCCTTCCTCTGCACCTCCTGTGGTTTGGCTCTGGGAACTGATAACCTTTTCTAAATTTGGGCTAATAACAGTGGGGTTCCTGTTACTTGCAACTGAAGGCGTTCTCCATGGCACACCATTAAGCATCCTTCAGCTTTCCCAGGGCTTTGCTGTTGGGTGAGGGGGACCTCAAAAGAAAAATTAATTTCCGTTTATAAATAGAGCTCAGTGTCTTACAAATTGAAGAGATGGAACCTTATTTGATAGTGAGGCAGGACTCTTGGGTCATATAAGAAAAGAACCTAATTAATGAATGTTAAATGCTATTTACATTCAGTGGCAGACATTCTTGGTTGTCTAATCAGTCATTTCCAACAGCCTCTCCCTTGACACTTCCCACTGTGAAGGCTGCAAAGCTCAACACTGCACTCGCTTCCCCAGCGTCTAATGCAGTCAGAGGGGGCCATGTGACCCAGTCCTGGACAATAAGACATAAGCAGCAATCTGTTACTGGTGGGGGTGACAGTGGAGGGGGAGTGATTTAACAGTTTAATATTTTTTCTTTTATTATAAGTTACTGCAAATAATTTTTGGAAGTTGGTGGAAGTGTAAAAAACAAATGAAAAAATTAAATAATGAATTTTTTTGGTTATAAAAGTGTTTCTTTCTGGATAAAAGTGGGAAAGTATTTCAAACTTTCCAAAAATAATTTATAAGGTAGATGAAAGAATAGAGAATAGGCATGGCTAATACCTGATGTTCCTTCTAAGAGATAAGAGATTTTTTCCAACTTTCGTCTAACAAAAACCGATCTGATTTACAGTGTGCCAGAGACCTTGCAAGGGCTGGAAATTCAAAGATCCACAAGACCCA